GGCTTCCAGGAGGAATCATTCCCTTAAGCAGAGAAGGGGGGAGGGGGGGAGGAGGAGGAGGAGGACTCTAGTCCTAGGGCAGGATGAGCGGAATCCTGGGCTTGTGGCTGCACAGGGCTGGTGGGTGGGTTGGGGGCTGAGCCTTGGGCTCTTCTGGATCCTGGGCCGGTTGTACTTTCCAGGTAGTCTCCACTGTGCCCTGGAGCTGCTCTCCTGTAGCTTGGGAGGGGCCAGGCCCTTAGGGAAAAGAGGCAGTGCCCGTACTTGTTGGGGCCACACCTGGAGCACCAGGTGACCATAGTGGGGGTTGGCTGGGACCAGGGCTTGGGGGCCAGCGTGGCTGGGCCCTCTCTGACTCAGTTGTGCTTAAACCCCTGGTGTGGAAACTGCCTGGTGACTGTACCATACCCAGCACCACCCCTGTGCCTGGCATGCCTTGTGCCCCCCACCTGGCAGTGGAGCTCTGGGTGGGCAGTGGGCGGCCCCCCCCCCATCAGCTGGAAGGTTCTTGTGTCACTCTGTAACTTCCGGCTAGGTGTTCCTTGACCAGGAGATGGTTAAGGTGAGAGAACAGTCTCGTGTTGGGTGCCTTGGGGTAGGCTAGGTGGAGCCGCTCCTGGTCCCCCAGCATAGCTCCAGGCCTCTGCGAGAAGGCCTCCCTGGGGAAGGTGGGGAAGGCCACTAGGGAGGGAGGTGGGGTGACAAGGTTCCTAGGAGATCTGGGCGAAAAGGCCTGCCCTTCTCTCCAGGGCCCTCTGTCCTGGCTGGGTTTGGGCTGGGGAAAGTTTCCTGAAATCTGGAGGCATTTCAGTGAAGGTGCCCATGGTTGCCTCTGAGGGGAAACTCGCTCCTGTCCTCAGGGGATCAGGCATTGAGTAGAAGGAACAAGCATTCTTGTGGGGGACACTGTTCATGAGGGTCAGGAGTGCCAGCTGGGGCACTGCACACTGAGTTTGGGCCCCAGAGGTGGGCCCAAAGGTGGGTGTGGGATGCGCTCCTCTGTCTCCAGGAGGGACAGAGTACCTGCTGCCAGGCCCTAGGGAGGCAGGGCTGCCCGCCTGGTCTCTAGAGGGCACCGCTTGGGGGCCAAATGACCTGAGCAGTTCTGGGTGCCCAGGCCTCCTGGAGCCCAGGCTCTGGGCATGGGGGGTATCCAGGCTGAGTTGGGGCAGCTCCCGTCAGAATTGGGGGTTAGAATTGTTCTCCTTGTTTTCTGCCTAAGTAAGAATCACTTTCATCTTAAAAACCTCCTCTCATGGCTTCTAAAGGTGCTGGACCAGAGCACACTCTCCTGCTTTTTGCGGGGTGCTAGGGAGAGAGGCCTGGAGGTGGCCCCTGAGGCCATGTGGACTGCCTAAGGCAGTGAGGGCCCCCATGGGGTGCTGCTCCATGGGTCAGGAGGCTCTGGGCCCTGCCCTCTGCCATACTCATTGGCCCTTTGGCTGGTGTGTGTTTGCGGGGCAGGGAGGGGATCTGAGGGGTGTCCTTGGCCTGGGGCTTCGACTGCTTGCTGGAGATGCACGAGGGCTGCCCAGCCACGAAGGAGCTAGAGGGATAGGGATCTGCTCCTGCCATGGCTGCTCTGCCCTCACGAGCTGCTTCCTGTGTGCCCACAGGCTTCTGAAGTTGAACCAGCACCCCAGGGTGGGCTGAAAGCCAGCCGCGGGGAGGGGGGCTGCACCCATGGCCACAGACATGGTCCTCCACACTGCCAGTCCCAGGCCTTCCTGCCCCGTGGGGAGGTGAGAGGTGAGCGGTTGGAGTGCGTGCTGGGGCCAAGGCTGGGCTGTATGTACAAAGATGGGATGGGCTCTGCCTCAACACTTGGGCTCTGGGGGCGTGCGGGCCAGCGGGGCCAGTGTGCCTGGTGTATGGCCGCGCCTGGGAGGTGTTAGCTGGTGGTAAGCTGCTGAGATGGGCATGTCCTGTGAAAGCCTCTGTTCTTTCTCTCTTTTTGCTTGGAGTTTTTTCCCCATTTGAGGTAAAATTTACATACAACATGGTACCCAAATCTCAAGTGACCCCTTGAGTTTTGACCAGTGAGTGCAACCACCTTAACCCAGACTCCTGCCAAGGCATGGAGCTGCTCTCACCCTAGAAGTTTCCTTCTGCCCCTTCCCAGACAGTGCCCCTCTGACCCTCCACAGGCTGTGCTGATTTTGTTTCTCCCACAGATCAGTTCTCCCTGTTCTAGAATTTGACGTAAATGGAATCATGCAGTCTGTACACTTGTGTAAGATTTCCCTCATTTGGCGTGATTTTGAGATTCATCCATGTTCGTGCGTCAGTCTGCTCTGTCGGTTTCTTTAGAATTTTAAAAGTAATACGTACTTATTTTAAATTTTGAATATTACAGAAATGAACATACAGAAACTATAGTTTTTCTATAATTCCACTCCCCAGAGATAACCTCATTTAGCAATTGGGTGTGTGTGCCCCAAGATATTTCTTTCTAGGATGGCAGTGCCCAGTTGGGCCTTCGATATAGTAGTTGAGGAGGGTGGACAGGGAGGAGCACAGAGGGGATGTGGGGCGCTCCGGCCAGCTTCCCTGGCTCAGCTGTGAGGGCCTGACCTTCTCTCGGGTCTGTGCTGCCAGTGCCTGAAGTGTCTGGGGCATCTGGGCCCTGGGCCTGCACTTGGTGTGTGTCGGGGGTGGGCGGGCGGGCAAGCAGGCGGGCGTGCCTCTCTGGCTTTTCTGTGGCGGGGCCCTGGAGGGGAAGAAAAGGAAATGAGTGCTCAGCTAGGACCTGTCCCAGTTTGCCATGTAACAACCCTGTTGGGTACGTGGGTGTTGACCATTCTGTAAACAAGGATCCGGGAAGGTAATCCAGATCTCTCTGTTCATTCCCTCATACTGTGTTCCTGAGAGCGCAGCGCTGGCCCTCCCCAAGGATTGTGTTCCTGCCTTTCCCTGCCGGGATCAGCCTGGCTGGAGACACCCACCCACCCACCTGCAAAGGGCCAGGTCTTGGCCTTGGAGGAGGACCTGACTGTCCCACTGCCCCAAATCCTGGGCTTCTGGGAGCCAGCGCTCCAGGAAGGCAGTGGGGCTGCGCTGGGTGTGGGATCCTTGGGGCTGATAGGCATGCTGCCTGGGCCTGCTGCCACGGGGCTGCTGGGTGCCAGGAGCCAGTGCCAGGCAGTGTCCTCGTTCCAGCCTTTGGTGGGCTCCTGCCAGGGCTGGACACCAGCCTCCGGACCCAGTGGGGCATTGCACTGCCAGCTTGCTGGGCCAGCCTCCACAATCGTGTTTCCAGTTACCTGAGGCAGGGGCTTCTGGAGGGGCGATGCTTGCTGCTCCCACACCTGGCAGTGAAGGGGAGCGCAGAGGTCTCTGGCTGTTGTCATTTAGGCTGGGAGGAAAAGAGCAGTGCTTCGTAGGGGTCCTGGCGCTGCAGCACTGGGGCATGTGGCCCCCTCACCTGGGGTGAGGTTGCATCATTGCTTGCCAATGTAGTGGTAGCCCAAACTGTACTCAGCCTGGGGTGAACGCCAGGCAAGGCGGCATCGTGCTGGCTGTGAGCTCCCAGCAGGCAGCTCCGCCAGTGCCCCACCGAGTTGGAAGGCACAGTGAGGCCGGCTCTGCCCTGTCCTGCTGAGTGTCCCTGTGGGGAATCACGTCTGACTCAGCCTGAGAGACCTTGGTCCAATACTCGGCCTTTCCCAGGCTGGTAAAGTGCCTGGTGGTGCTGGGCAGTGGGCACCTACACAGGGCCCCTGAGTCCTGTTCTGCCACCCACTCCCTGCACGACGTCCAGGTGTTGGTCTGATTTTTGACAAGGGCCAGTGACCCCTCGTTGCAGGTCTAGCACGTGCTGAGACAGGCCACTGGGGGAGTTGGCCTGAGGTCCTGCGGGGAACAGGCTGGGTAGCATAGGGTTGTGCCATGGGTGTCTGGTTGGCTCAAACACATATGTGTGCCTTCCTGTCCATTCTTCCGGGCGACTGTCACTAGCTTTGTGGTGGCCTCTGTCCCCTTTCCCAAGGCTGGGCTTGGCTCTGTCCCGCTGGCCTCATCCAGCCGAGGAGCCTGGGCTCTCCACACAGGCTGGGGGCCCAGCCCACCCTCATTAAATGTAGATGCTCTTAGGCTGCTGGACCTACTGGGCAGTTGGTGGGATCCTGGACCAGCCATGCCCCCCCACCCCTGTGAGAGAGGAGCCATGCTGGGCCTGGAGAGACAGCTGGCAGGCTGGAGCTGAGGCCTCCCAGCCACCCCGCACCCCGGGTCTGGTCACATTCCTGAGGGACCTGCTGAGCCTCCCTGGGCCTGGGGGTGGGGGAAGGGCAGGCAGGGATGGGCTCTAGGCTGCTGCTGACCTCCTCCCCCACCCCTGGCTCCGTTCCAGGGAGCCCAGGCCTGCTCGTGTCAGGCCTGCCCGTGTGGGGTGTAAGGAACCAGAACCTAAGAACTCCCCCTTCCTGCAGGACCTGAAGCTCTGAGGGACAGAGGGAGCACACCCGCATCTGGCGGCAGCTGCCAGCAGCTTTGGCAAGCTGGTATTGAAAGGCCGAGCTTGCGAAAACTCCTGCGAGGGGAGGCCATGTGGTTGGGCTGGGCAGGAGGGGGCTGGGCCCTCTGCAGGGAGGGGGTGAGAACAGATCGAGAAGAGAAGGAGGCAGGAGAGCCAGAAGCGGTTGAGACTGGTTCTTATAAATAGCCCATTGCACCAGTGCCTCCAATTTTGACCTTTTGTTATGTAAATGTGGCCAGCCTGGAAAGGGCCTTGCCCAGGCCTCCTGCCACCACGCCTGCCCGCTGGGAATTGTGTGCCTGCCACCAGCTCCCTCAGGCCCAGGTGGCTCTTGGAGTACCCTAAATCTCCTGAGTTGGGGGTGGGCAGAGGGTGCAGTGCTGCCGAGCTCCCCAGACCCGCGACCATCCCTGCCCCTGGGCCTGACTGCGGGCACTGTGGCCACTGTCTTCTGCCTGGCTGCCCTTGGCATCCCAGCCAGAGAGACCCCTGAACCTTCCTGGGAGCGAAGGCTCGCACCAGGTGCCTTCCCCTTCACTGTCCCACCCTTCTTCCCTTGCTGATGCCTGTCTGGGTGACCATGTCTGTCTTCTCCTCCCCAGGTGACCAGGCATTGATGCACCCCCAGGGAGGCCACGTACTCAAGGAGGCCACCCCCGCTGGCTGCTGCTCACATGGTTTCTGGGCCCCTGGCACTCCGGTAGGCTGGGGAGGGGGAGCTCGCAGGGTCAAGGGGTGGGGATGTGGGGGAAGGAGGACGTCTGCCTGCTCCTTCTGGGGCTTTCCGGGCGGCCCACCCAGCCATGCAGCTCTCGGCCTGCATCGTGGCCTGTGGTCCTTCGTGTGCACACAGCACCGGGCAGCGTGGAGGGGAGGCTGGGGCCTGTTGCCCTCCGCCGGAGGAGGAGCGGCTGCTGTGGGCTCACAGCCTCTCAGAGGACGGGACCTCCTGCCCTCAGCCCATCCCCTTGCCAGGCTTGGAACACCAGGCGTCTGGGGTGCTGGCGGAGCTGACACGGCATTTCTCTGGGGCTGGGTATCCTGGCCAGTGTGGGAGCTGGGCCTTGGGCTCTTTGTCCCCACTTGGCTGGTTGGGGGACAGGGAGTGGAGGAGGCTTGCTTCCTGGGCTCCAGCCTCTGAGCCCTGGCTGAGCAGCCTTGCAAGGCTGGGCAGGCCAAGCAGGTGCTTGCTGCCTCCTGCTGTCAGGCCCCAAGTGCTAGTCCTCGTGTGCTCACGGGGTATATGTGATTGTTGGAGTCTCCCTCTGTCTTTGCAAACAAGGGCAGATGTGGGGCAGGGGGAGCATTTGTGACACATTTGTGCCTTCCTGTGCCTGCCGAGGGAGGCAGGGCTGGGCACCCTGTAGGAGCAGGAGATCCCAGATAGCTCAGAGCAGTCAGTTCCTGTCAGAGATCGGGCTCTGAGTGGAAGGATGTGAAGGCACCCTCGTCTACTTCGTGGCACAGAGCTGCCTGCGGGAGGACACATGTTCCCCAAGGGCCTGGAGGGGGCAGGGAGCCACGGCCTTGCACTGTGGGCCCTGCTGCTTAGTGGGGTGGGCGTGTGGTCGGAGCACCCTGCTGCCAGAGACCTACGTGCACGCTGACACTCAGCCCGCCTGTAGGGCTCCTGTGGGCCAGAGGCCTCTGCATGGTTATTACTTCATGTCATCAGTTAGTGTCTGTGCCAGTCTGGGGAGGCCAGTTGGCTGCCTTTTCCAGGCCCAGAGGGTGCTGCCCTTCCCAGAAAGGACCCAGGGCCCAGGCAGGGCTAGGGGCTTGCCCAGGCTACCTTCTCCATCCACACCTGGAGGCTGCAGTGTCTGGAGGCAGGAACATGATGTTGGTGAACCTCAAGTCTTGGGAAGCCTCTAAGGTTGTTTGAGAGGCACCCAGTGGTGAGCAGAGGCTGCAGGCCTGAGTTGGTCAACGTAGTATTTAAGGAAAAGGAACCTTCTTTTAGCACTGGGTGATTTCACCTGCAAGTCTGGATTTCTGGCTTGTCCTGAAAGCTGAGAAGCTGTGTGCCTACGTGGGCAGTAAGCCTGCCCAGGGCCTCCTGCTCCCCTCAGTCCCAGCTGGTTATCTTTGGGTCCCCTTGGGCATGTGGTCAACTCCTTTAGTGTGGAGATGGTACCCTGGGTTCCAGAGCCAAATTCAAATCCCATTTTCACTTCTTGGCCGTATGTGCCCTTCATTGTCTTCTGCTTCTATTTTCAAATCCTTGCAGATGGGGCCAGTGTTGCTGTCCCTTCTGAGGCAGCATGAGTCCTTGGTGGGCAGTGTGAATTCCCTCCCTGTAGACTGTGCCTGAGGAGGTGACCAGCGGCCAGGTCAGTGCGGAGGCCTCTCTGAGCGCCACTGCGGCCGCGCCCTGGCCTGGGGCCCTTGTGCAAGGGTCCCTGTCAGCTAACGCATGCGTGCCTGTTCTTGCCCACAGGTGGTGCGCGTGGGCAGGGCGCGGGGACATGGGGCCCGACATGGAGCTGCCCAGCCACTCGAAGCAGCTCCTGCTGCAGCTCAACCAGCAGAGGACGAAGGGCTTCCTGTGTGACGTCATCATCATGGTGGAGAACTCCATCTTCCGGGCCCACAAGAATGTCCTGGCTGCCAGCAGCATTTACTTTAAGTCCCTGGTCCTGCATGACAACCTCATCAACCTGGACACAGACATGGTCAGCTCCACAGTGTTCCAGCAGATCCTGGACTTCATCTACACGGGCAAGCTGCTGCCCAGCGACCAGCCAGCCGAGCCCAACTTCAGCACTCTCCTCACTGCCGCCAGCTACCTCCAGCTGCCCGAGCTGGCAGCCCTCTGCCGCCGCAAACTCAAGCGAGCCGGCAAGCCCTTTGGCTCTGGACGGGTGGGGGCCACCGGCATGGGGCGGCCCCCCCGCAGCCAGCGGCTATCCGCAGCCTCCGTCATCCAGGCCCGTTATCCAGGGCTTGTGGATGGGCACAAGGGGGCCCACACTCCCCAGGAGCTCCCCCAGGCCAAAGGCTCAGATGACGAGCTCTTCCTCAGCAGCTCGAACCAGGAGAGTGCTCACGGCCCGGGCCGGACCGTCTGTCCAGCCAGCGGGGAGGCCGGCCTGGGCGGCTGCAGTACTAATGGGAGCAGTGCGGGCTGCGAGCAGGAACTGGGCCTAGACCTGTCTAAGAAGAGCCCCCCCCTGCCCCCCACGACCCCCGGTCCCCCACTCACCCCAGATGACCCGGCCCAGCTAAGCGACAGTCAGCATGGCTCGCCCCTCTCGGCCTCCGCCCTTCCCGTTGCCAACAGTGCCTCTTATGCCGAACTGGGGGGCACTCCTAATGAGCCCATGGATCTGGAGGGGGCCGACGACAACCACCTGAGCCTGCTGGAGGGGCCCGGTGGGCAGCCCCGGAAGAGCCTCCGGCACTCGGCCCGCAAGAAGGAGTGGAGCAAGAAGGAGCCCATGGCAGGTTCCCCCTTTGAGCGGAGAGAAGCGGGGCCCAAGGGCTCCTGCCCCGGGGAGGAGGGTGACGGGCTCGGGGACAGGGTTCCCAATGGCATCCTGGCCAGTAGTGTGGCAGGGGGTGGCCCTGGCGGGCCCTACGGGGAGCCCCCGTACCCCTGCAAGGAGGAGGAGGAGAACGGCAAGGATGGGAGCGAGGACAGCGGGCAGAGCGGAAGCGAGGGGGGCAGTGGCCACATGGGCGCCCACTACGTGTACCGGCAGGAAGGCTACGAGACGGTGTCCTATGGGGATAACCTGTACGTGTGCATCCCCTGCGCCAAAGGCTTCCCCAGTTCCGAGCAGCTCAACGCCCACGTGGAGACGCACACGGAGGAGGAGCTGTTCATCAAGGAGGAGGGTGCCTACGAGACGGGCAGCGGGGGCGCAGAGGAGGAGGCCGAGGACCTGTCAGCGCCTAGCTCGGCCTACGCGGCTGAGCCCCGGCCCTTCAAGTGCTCCGTCTGCGAGAAGACCTACAAGGACCCGGCCACGCTGCGGCAGCACGAGAAGACGCACTGGCTGACACGGCCCTTCCCCTGCAACATCTGCGGCAAGATGTTCACTCAGCGCGGCACCATGACACGCCACATGCGCAGCCACCTGGGCCTGAAGCCCTTTGCCTGCGATGAGTGCGGCATGCGCTTCACCCGCCAGTACCGCCTCACCGAGCACATGCGCGTGCACTCGGGCGAGAAGCCCTATGAGTGCCAGCTCTGCGGGGGCAAGTTCACCCAGCAGCGCAACCTCATCAGCCACCTGCGCATGCACACCTCCCCCTCCTAGAAGCCAAAGACCCTTCTCCTGGCCTGAGGGCACCCTCTGCAGACTCGCCCTCGGGAGCCAGCGGAAGGAGGAAGCAAGGAGGCCAGGCAGGCGGGGCCAGGACCCCCAGGTCCAGCAGGGGGGGCTCTTGGCACCTCTGGCCAGTCCCCACACCCAGAGCTTTAATCGACAGTTTGTACCAAGGGAAGAGAGAGGAGGGCGGCTGGTGGGCCCGAGCCCTGCGTGCATGTTGCTGGTGTGCGGTCTACCTCCCAATCCCGCCCAGGCCCCTGGCTCCCGAGAGGGCCACCGCAGGGCTGATGGGAGCAGGTCATGAGGGTCTCGCTGGGACCCCGCCCCTTCCCCCGCAGGCCTAGTTGGAGCAGGGGGCAGTGGGGACCTCCATCCGTGCTTGGGGAGGAGCAGGGCTCCCTGTGGTCAGGGGCGGTGTCTGTGTGCATGCCCCCCGGCTCTGCCGGGAGCAGTGCTGGAGGGAAGGGGACGGAGCCCGCCCTCCTCGAGCTAGGGGTCACTGCCCACTGGTGCTGGGACAGTCAGGGGGGCCCCGCCGCCTACCTCTCTACAACTAAAGAGCCCTTTGGGCCTGTGTTGCTGTTATTCCTACTGATCTGTTCCTTTTTTCTTTTTGAGTTTTGTCTTTTAAACCAAAACCAACAAGAGTTTATTTTCCTCCCGGCCCTTTGGGGCTGAGCCTGGGTCTGCAGACTGAATGTACGGGGCAGCCGCCCCTCCCTGCCCTGCCGTGGGCCACCCGCCCCTCCAGGCCCCAGAAGCCCTTCTTGGCCAAAGGCTTCCCTGGGCCCCGAGCCCCGCCTCGGCTGCCTCAGGAGAGAGAGTGCTTTTCCTATAGTTTCCGAGGAATATTCTTTGTTAGAGGTACTTGTTTTTTATTAAGAGAAGAACCAGTGTAACGTTTATGTGAATGTTGGAACTGGAAGGTCTGGGGTTGGTTGGGGGGAGGGGGGCTGGTTTGAGGTCAGGCCGTGGGGACTGGGTTTCCATTTTCTGTTTGTGTGTATGGTGTGCGTGGTGCGTGTGGACAGATGCTGTACTTTCCTCCGTTCCTTCCCTATCTAGGTGGAGAGTTCTGACCTTTTGCTACCTCTTGTATTCATGAAAACAGTACGTTGGTGACTGACAGTTGAGGCCGTGACACTTTGGTTTTCCTCCCGTTAGTGCACACAGGAGGACGTACGTTTAAGTGAGCTGGGCCCGGGCGGCCCTCTTGGGCGGCCCCCGACGCTCTTAGAGAGGCTCCTGCAGCCCTGTGGTCTCTGGGCGCACGTGTGCATTATCCCCATGGACGTGCGGCTAGCTGTGTCTGTCGCAGGGGTGTTCTGAGAGTGCTGCTGAGCGCCTCTGATCTGGGCTTGGGTGAGGGGTATGCGCACTCCAGCCCCATGGGAGCTCCTGGCCTGGGGCTGGGGTCCAAGTACCAGAGAGATGGGAGCCACGCGGCTGGAGCAAGCTCCTTGCAGCTCCCTGCCAGGGTCAGGGTGAGGCGGAAGTGAGCCCCCCCCATCCTGTCCCCTGGGCCTGCAAGAGCTTGAACTTGGGAGAGCAGCAGCCCCCGCCTGGCCAGTGTAGAGGCGTGGGGAGGGGCTGACCAAAGCAATGTATACACCTCTGGGGGACAGGGAGGGGACTGGCCTTGCTTTGGCACCCCTCTGGGAGGTCCTGGTCCACAGTCTCCAGTAAGAGGCTGGCTGCCACCCATTGGCTCAGCCGTATCTGGTGTCCCACTTGTCGCCCCTCATCTTCTGCTCTCTCCGCCAGCCTCAGACACCTCTGTGGGCCCAGAGCTGGGCTCACGAGGCCACGCCAAAGTCGACGAGGTCGGCCCTACTGTCCCCGGCTGACTGGAGCCACTGGGCTGGGCCAGCGGCTTTATCTTCTTTGTTTCGCTTCATACTTTTATTTCTTTTTTCTCTATCTACTTTAAGTTCAGACCAAAAAATTTCAGAGTCATCCCCCACCCCCACCCCTCCACTCCTCCAGAGACCCTCCAGCTGAGAACAGAGCCTGAGTTCAGGGACCCATGTGGTGAAGGGCGTGTTTTGCAAGTGAGGGAGCTCAGGCCGCATGAGGGCTCCTGGCTGAGCCCTCCGCATGGTGCCGCCACCCCGGGCTGGCTCCTCTTCCCTTTGGGTGGGAAACGGAGGACTGGACTCAGGTCTTATTTTCCAGCAAGTCAGGCCAAGGATCTGGGCAGGGGAGCCTCCTCTGCTCCCCGCACCCAGTGAGGGGGCAGGGCCCTTTCCAGGCCCCCCTGCTCTCCTGACCCCACCCCACTCCATCAGCACTTAAGCTACACGACACAAAGTCTGTACCGCATGGGAGTTGTGCACACGGCGAGGCTGTGCATGGCCTCCCCGGCGTGGGTGACCACATCCGTGAGGTGACTCGGGAAAGTAGCTGATTCATTTGCAGAGCTTCAGGGACTGGGCGCAAAGGCCCCTCACTCAGCGTTCGTGCGACATAGTATTGTACCCACCTGAGTATTGTATCAAGCCTTCTCTGTATTTTAACAAGAAAGCAAAACACTAGTTTCCTATTTAAAATTTTAAGGGTTTGTGGGTGGGGCGGGATTAACACAACACTTGGTTTTGTTTTCTTTTTCCTTTATCTTCATGTGGAGTGTGTGCTTGTGAGTGTGTGAGTGGAAATGTGTTAAGAGCCTCACGAGGAAATTAGGCCGTTGGAGGCCAAGGGCGGCTTACAGTTCTCTGCTTTAGTCACTTAATTCCTGAATGTTTCGGAGAAACAGGAAACAGAGAAAATAGCAGATGTCGTGTAGGAAAGAGGATAAACAAAAAAAAAAGGAAAAAAAAAAAAAAAGCTCATACCCAAATTCACAAAACCTATTTTTTAAACCAAAGCACATTTTGAATGAATATGGAACCTCAATGGGCTCAGAAAAAAGATACTAATATATTTATCTCATTGTTTACATAAACTTTTACAGTTTCAGACCTCAGCAGCTGTAAGGCCAGTCCCAGTGAATTCCCAACTTCTGCTGGAGGCCCTTCCGAGTCAGCCCTGGAACGGCTCACTGGCAGAGGGGCAGGCGTGGAGGCCCCGTATTCATCTGAGCCCTCCTCCCCAGCCCCGGGCCTCTCCAAACCCAGCTCGCACCAAAGAGCTTGGGCCTGTGCTGACCAGCCCCCAGGCCTCCTGGCCAGACCATGGCAGTCTTGGCCAGCTGGCACAGCAGGCGTGGCCGTCGGCTCTGGCCACAGGACCCGAGTCTGGGCTTGGGCCCTGGGATGGAGGCCTGCCCACCCTGCTACTCTGCTGGAGACTGGGCTGGAGGCCTGCCCACCCTGCTACTCTGCCTGAGATCCTCAGGGTGGGTTGATGTGAGGGTCCCTCAAGCCAAAAAGCCAGGACCTTTGCACAGCTCCGTTGATTCCAGTGAGTCCCTGCCCTCCCAGGGACCCCTCCACCCCCACCTCTGGCAGCGAGAGGGGCTCACTGGGCTGGTCCTTACCAACACAGAAGGTGCAAACACTCTGAACAGTGTTGTTTTTGTATCAATATGTTTGTGCAGTGATGAATGTATTTATTTCTCAGACTTGGGGCGAGTGAGCGGCAGGCCGGCTCCGCCACCTCGCGCTCTCGCCAGACCGAGCCACCGCAAGGGCTCCTCCAGGATTGCAAAAAAGGTAAAAGAGAAAAGATGAACCTTTAAGCAAATAAGAATCTCAGAGACTCGCAGCATAGCCATACACCTCAACCCGTGAAATGAACAATCTGGACCCAGACTGACTTGCAGAACCTCACGCAGCTGTGTGTGTGTTTCCCCTTCTTTCCCCTTCGTCACCACTCGGGGTGCTGGGCTGACCCGCCCCGCCCCGCCCCATCAGTATTCACTGGACTTGGCCGTGTGCAGGAGTGCGATCTGGGCTGGGCTGGCTGGGCAGGCAGACCCCAGCCCCGCTCCCCGCGGCCACCCTGCGTTGGGGTGCGGCCTGGGCAGCCAGGAGGGCAGGGCTCAGGGAGGAGGCGGCTGCATCCGTCCTGTCCCATCGGCTTGGGGGACAAAAGCAGAAGCGCCAGGCTTTAGGAGGCCAGACAAGGGATCTCTGCCCTGCCATGCCCCCTGAAGGGACCAAGGCCCTGGCTCTTCCCCAGAGTCACATTGGGGCAGACGTTATTGAACCTGTGAATCTGATGCCAGGAATGAGTGGATGGAGAGGGACCTAACCAGAGCCTCAGTCTGACATTCCAAATCAGGGGGTGGGTATGCACTGTGGGAATTGAGGCTGCCCAGGACCCCCTTCCTAGGACCCCCCAGCTTCAGTCACCCACTTTAATTTTCTACCAGGAGCCCCTCCCCTTACCTCACCTTACTATTTATTGCTGTAATTTATTGACCTCAGAAATGCTGCATAACAGACCTCACTCGGGGCAGGGAGGATCCCCAGGGCTCCCCCCCTCCACTTGGTGGGGCCCTGTGGGGCCAGGTGCTGAGGGGAGCCTCTCTGTAACCCACCCATCACTTGCTTTCCCCCTCAGGTTGGGCACTGGCCCATTCGCAAATACCTCAAGGGGGAGGGGGAGGGATGGGGTTATAGCTGTTTTGTTTAATCGGAACTGGAAGAGGGATCATGTCCTACATTAGCCTTCCCAGAAAGGGGGGGGGACTCCGTGATCGCACTCCTGTACTGGCCACCACCGCTGTCAGTCATCACAATGCGTCACTTCCTGCGACAGTTTGGATAAATTCAGGTCAGAGCTGCAGGTATGCAGCCCTCAAATGTCATAGAAAAGCAATCCACTGACGACTGATCTCTCCATTCAGAAGCGTGCAGTCTTAATGTACAGTGATAAGAAACTGTTATTTTATGATCTTTTCATTAAAAGCTTGATTGAAAACTCTCTTGTGTGGGGCCTCTGTGTCCTCTTGTCTCTTGCTAAATGACAGACTACTTTTCTTTCTCTGTCCAGCTTCCAAGACCCAGGAGGGTGGGTTTCAGACGGGGCTGGGATCTCTCAGTGGTGTGGGTGCACTCCAGGGCTGGGCACTGGTCCAGGGAGCCAGCACTCTGGGGTCAGCATTCCTCTTGGGCAGCGTTGACTGAGGCAGTTTAGGAAGCAGAGGATGTGGCAGTGACTGGGCTCAGATGATGGGCTGCACCCGTTGGAGCAGCAGAGTCAGGCTGGGGCAGGGGGAGGAAAGAAAGAAGGCTAATCTTAGTCTCCAGAGGCAGGGACAGTAGATCCAATTCCCTGGGGACTGTCCCTC